GTGAGATTTGAACAGCCGAACTGCAGTCAGCTGAAGTAGCCTGCAGTGCTGCATTTAACCACTGCGCCACCTCGGCTCATAATTAGAACCCACAGAGACCAAGACAAAGCTGGCAACGATGGAAATCTCGCCCAGAGATGGGGGAGGACACACGCCCAAAGAGCACGGCACGAGAAAGGGCGGTGGGCTCTTGGTTTGACGGACTGATAACCACGCTGGCACAGTGCTGGCCCCCACCGCCTCTCCCAAGCCCTTCCTTCCATTCGCTTCGGGGGGTTTCCTGGGATGCAACAGACAAGGTCCTCTCCAGCTGAAGAGGCCGGTTGGCGTGGCTCCTTAACTGGTCAGGAGAAAAAGATGACCGGGCACCAAATGCCCCCCGTGGGCAGAGAGGAGAGAGCGCGCTCAGCTGGAATGAAACCCCGATAGAAAAGCCTATCTGTAACTCAGGGGGTCCTGGCTGCTGTCTGAGCTTGTGAGTTTTTATGCAGATGTTTCACAGCCACAAGTAGCAACATCATCAGTGCTAGAAGGGAGTGGGGGGAGAAGGAGGAGGAGGAGGAAGAAGAGGAGGAAGGGGAAGGAGGAGGACTGTGAGGTCCTTGGTGCTGTCAGAACTTGGCTCTGTTCTTGCAGACATTTTATCACCCAACTAGATAACATTATCAGCTTGAACTAAAAGGATGAGGCAAATTTTATTGTGTTGCAACGTCTTCAATAAGTGTAACAGAAAAGTGAACAAAAACAAAAAGATACGATTCTAGAAGCTTCCTCCTCAGCCCAGAAGTCAGCTTCTTATAGATACACATTTGACAACAACAAAGTCCCTAAAAAAAAAATTGTATTTCATGCCCAGGTTCGTCTTCTGGGTCCTAAGTTGGAGAAAGACATTTATCCGCCTGATGCGTCTTTGGGAGAAGTCATCTTTCAAAGAGTCAGTTCTGAAATTCCCGGCAGTTGTGGGGGAGCAGACCTCACCGGGGTTTTCTCTCCATGGAAAATAAAAGTGGGGAAAACTGGCCAGACGCCCCTGGGAGAGCTTTACGGCCCCCAGAGGGCAGACTTTTGGTGACTGCCGCAAACACTATCCAGAACTTGAGCGTCACAGAGGATAGGGCCGAAAGAACGAGCGGAGATTTAGCGGAAGGGAAGACCGAGGCGCAGAATTTGGCCTCTGCCTCTTGCCGCAGCCCTTCTGTCCAGGGGTCAGAATCCAGACGGACCCTGCGGGTCACAAGGCCCCCTGCGAGGGCATCTTGCCCGTGATCTTGTTGGAGCACTCCAGGAGCGCGTTGTGGATGTCCTTGGCGCAGGAGATCTGGGACTTGATCATGCTGAGGTACTGGGTGTAGGGCAGACTCTCGGCCTGGACCGCGTCGGGCTTGGTGGCGGTGGGCACCAGGGTGGGCGAGTGCTTGGCGCTGTCGAAGCTCTGGGAAAGGCACTCGTAGGCCAGGCGCTGGGACGAGGGAGAGAGGGGGTGGGGGGTGAGAACAGAGCTGGTGGGATGTCACCCCGGGGAGGGTCTGCCGAGAGGAAATTTCCTGACGGTGAGAACAATTAACCAGCGGAACTGCTGGCCTCCAGAGGTTTGGGGTGTTCCAAGACTGGAGGCTTTTATGAAGGGATCAGACAGCCACCTGTCTGGAATGCTACAGGTAATTAAATCGACTTATGACCACACCGGAGCTCAACATTTCTGTGGCTAAGCAGGACATCCGTTAAGTGAATGTTGCTCTACTTTATGGCCTTTCTTGTTGTGAAGTGAATCCCTGCAGTTGCTAAGTAAGTAATCTGGCTTCCCTATAGACTTCGCTTGTCCAAAGGTGGCAAAAGGGGATCCCGTGACTCCGGGACACTGCAACCGTCATTAAGTGTGAGTCAATTGCCAAGCTTTTGATCATGGGGATGCTGCAAGGGTCGTAAGTGTGAAAAACGGCCATAAGTCACTTGTTTTCAGTGCTGTTGTAACTTTGCCACTAAATGAAGTGTAGTAAGTCGAGGGCTACCTGTTTTGAGCAGGGGGTTGGACTAGAAGACCTCCAAGGTCCCTCCCAATCCTGTTATTCTGCAGAGACACAATTCCTTCTCACAACCACATCCGAGACCTCCTAAACGGGTGGCCCCCCCCAGCCATACCCACCAGAGATGTGGAGGACAAAAAGAGAAGAGGGGGACAAAACCCCAAATCCCACCAATGTGCACAAGTGGGAATCTGTAGCCGACGAACGAGAGTGGATCCCCCCCTCCCCTCCCCTCCCCGTGGACTTACCAGACAGAGTTCGAGCTGGTCACACAAGGCGTAAAATTCCTCCAGGCTTTTGTCCACTCTCTGCACGGGAACTTCGCTGATTTTCCTGAAGAAAAAGGGAAAGAAAGAAAGTCTGCCGTTTAGACAGAAAGAAAGGGAGCAGGCCGGGCCATGGAGAGGGAAGGTGGAGGGAACTCACTGCCCGCTGTCGATGCTCGTGTTCTGGACGAAGTTCTGCGCAGCCACCTTCATCAGGTTCTGGAATGGAAAGGAGGATATTGAAAATGGGCTCCCAAGCAGGGACCCCCTAAAGAAGAGACTGGAGAGGTTGGCATTCAAGATAAAGGACAAAGAAGAGGCAGAATATTTTTCCACATGGGATTTGTTCTACCAATGGCTAGAAATTGGAAGCTGGAAGAATGCCACTCGGTACAAGAAAATAAAATTATTATTATTATTATTATTACTATTATTATGGATAAGTAGGTTGACCCAGACAATACAGTGTTTACCAAGCATTTATGTATGTTAAAGAATATATATATACACTGTATGTATGTGTATATGTGTGTGTATAAGTATATATGTATATATGTGTGTGTATGTATGTGTATGTTTGTGTATATGTACATATGTGTGTATGTATGCATGTGTACATGTGTGTATATATGTATGTGTATATGTGTGTATATATACATATGTGTATGTATGTGTATATGTACATGTGTGTATGTATGTATGTATGTGTATATGTGTGTATATATGTGTTTGTGTATATGTATATATGTGTGTGTGTATGTGTATATGTGTGTATATGTACATATGT